ATGAACTCAAGAAGACTCATCTTTGTGAATTCATTTCTGATGTCAGACACTTACTAGCTGTGTGACTGTGGGCAAATCACTTAATCTTGTTTGCCTTAGTTTCCTCATCTGTAAAATGAGCTGGAGAGGGAAATGGCAGACCTGTCTGCCAAGAAAACCCCACATTGGGTCATGTAGAGTTGGACATGACTGAAACAACTAAACAACAATGACTTCTTAACTCTAGGTCCAGCGCTTTATCCATTGAGCCAAATAAAGGCCACTTGTGGGATTGATTCTCAATTTCCCACTTCTTCTGAGGTTTTCAGGCCCTCTTTAACAAATGCTATCTGCATTCTGGTTGCCTTCTCAGTTTCCGTGTGCTCCAAATACTGGGGAGATGAAGCCCATTACCAGGATTAAGACACTATTTTACAAGGTAAGCATCTCCATGATTGCCAATAGACTTTGTTTTGTCAGCATGAATCACTTCCAAATTTAACATAAAAACCTTATCTGCAGATTGGAAACAAGGGAGTCTTCAAAGCCATCAGTGAACTTGATATCCTTTTTCCCTGGATAAAAAATTACCTAGATGGCATTAAATAAGACACCACGGACATTATCTTTAAAATATACTGACAAGTACCAGTGGAATGAGTTTATAAAAGTACCTTTCTCTAATTTAATTGAAAATTTTTGTGTATGTGTGTGCACTTAGTATTGAGAGAAAGTTAGCTATGACAGCAATGGCCTGGGTAAATAAAGATTTGGAGATGTTATCATTTGCATCTTTCTGTAATCACTAACTGTGAAGGGTTTATAAAATTTATGTATTTTGTTTTTTTATTTTCCCCCAATTACACATAAAAACAATTTTCAACATTCATTTTCAAAATTTTGAACTCCAAATGAAGGTTTTTTTTTAAACAATTAACTTGTTTTACATTTTGAAAGTGCTATATAAACACAAATTTCATTGCAGGACTTTCATTTGAAGGCAAACATTGGAATAACCTTATTTCAGATTATGTGAAAAAGAAAACAACACACAGAGAAACTCCACACTCTAATATTAGATGGGTTTAAGAGGAGGGTAGCCAGCATTATTAACTCTTTTAGTGGAAAGTTGGTAAATGTGGCTAGCCTTCATGCTAGCATTCTAGTTAACAGAGCTGTTTTTAAAGCAAATAAATGTCTGCTTCTCTTCCACGGAGAGACGTCCATGACAACATGCTAGAATTTCAATATGATTATAAAGTTTAGCAAATAGTGTGATCATCAGGGGAGCTAATAATTCACTGGAGTATAATGGTTGCTTTCATAGATGGTTAAAATGATGCTAAAGATAACCAAAGCTTCTGCATTCTGCACAACTAACAGCTAAAGGAAATTCTGTTGTTGCAAACTTGAAGGACTGTGTGACCAAATTCTTTTTTTGTTTGTTCAGCCAAACTGCTTAATGTGTGTTTTTTAAGTGACACTGAATTCATGAAGACACATTTTCTGTAGAGTTACTATTGTTTCAATTTACATAACATCCTTAGTGGACAACATCCTTAGGACAATAGGCCTAAGGATGAGCATTGGCTGCCTCAAGGGCCTCAGGTGAAGCTTGTCTTTGGTAATCTTACATCATGCCTTTTCAACTTCTCTGGTGTTCTGGCATGTCCTCCCCTCTCCCCCATTCCAAGTGGAAGACCTCCTGATGCCTTCAGCCTGCCACTTCAACTGGGCCTGCCTGAGTGTCTCATACTCCAGACTTCTCCCTCCTCTCTTTTCCTCAGTTAAAACTCTCATTAGCTTAGCTAGATGTAGGCAATATGATCACTAGGGCTATGCTAACAGATTACATTTGTGCAATACTTGATGGTTATACTTTACATACTCTCTTTCATAACAACCCTGTGAAGTAGATAGCAACAAATATTTACAATTTACAATTTATAGATAAGAAAACTTAGAGTTTCTTAAACTCTAAGTTTTGTCTAAATTGGAGCAGGGTCAATAATAGAGGTGAATGAGATCTTATCAAATCCAAGGCTCTTTCTACTGCTCCAGTCAATATGTGGATTACCCATAAGTTTATGCTAGAGAGTATTCACATTTTAAATAAGGTGTTTGTTAACCCAAATGCAATCCTCCGGGAAGTTATAACCTAACCGCTACCTGGGTATCCCTGCCTCACTCGAATTAAATTCACATGTAAGTCAAGACATCACACTAATGAGGTCATTGGTCCTGTTTGAGAATGAAGGACTACCACCACCACCACCAATAACCTGGGTGTCAATGGTAGAAGCTGCCATTGGGAAAATTCTTGCCCTCATCAGCAAACTCAACTCCTGTCGCCCCAGATTACCTCATGGTTTCTGGCTATGGCTCCCAGGCAGTGATCAGAAAGACATTTTGCCTCTCCCCCACTCCTGACTCCCATTTTTTATTTTGGGTGGGACAAAGTGAATCACACAAGATGAACAAGTAGTGATGGGCTGTGATCCATATTACTGACCTCATTACGTTGTCTTTATTTCCAAAGCCACTCTTCTTTCAAACTTCTCTGTTACTGTGGAGGGCATCTCTTTCCTTTCAGCCACCCAGGTTCACAATCTCAGAACCATCTTTGATTCCTCTCCCTGTTCTCCCTCACCCACAGATCCAATACGTTGCCACATCTTGTGACATCTACCTCTATGACATCTCTCAAATCCAATTGCATTCTCTCACAGCCACCATTTAATAGTTCAAGCCCTTCTCACCTATTGCTTGGATTATTGCAATAATATCCTAATTGGCTTCCTTGCCTCAAGTCTTTCCCTTCTCTCCCTTGCTGCCAAAGTGATTTTCTTAAAGTGCGGCTCTGACCATATTACCACCCATCACCCCATTCAATATACTCCAGTGACTTCCATTCGATCTAGAAGCAAATAGTTTATCATCCTCATCTCAGCATTTTAAATTCCTATTCTTGTATAAATTTTCTAATTTGCATAATTATTAGTACAGTAGAACATATATATGTTATAAATAAGAAAACATACATGTATTTGGGATACATGCCACCAATTTTTTAATGTAATGTTTTGTGATTTAAAAAGTTTAGCCACCTCTGTTTTAGGCATTTCTTCCTCCATCTCTTTCCACTTCATCTTCTCTGAAGGGAGGAGTCATTTCCCTTCTGGTCTCTAGGAAGAGGGGAAAGGTTGGTGATGATACAAGTTAACCCTTGACAATTTATGAAGTAGCAAAAGTGGATCCCCAGCTCCTGTTCTCTCTTTAATACTTCATTACCTACTGATATCCTCTTCTCTAATTTGTGAGTAAAGGTTTTTAATACAATACAGTACAATACAACACAATTTACTGCAATGCAATACAACACAGCAGAACACAGTACAGCATGATATAATATTATACCATATAATATAATAGGAATTCATTTATTAAGTACCTACTGTGGGCAGAACACTGTTAGGTGCTATGAGAGAGCAAAATATAGATGCCATAATCCCAGCCCTCATGGAGCACACAGTGTACAATCAGAAATGATACCTGAATGGATGCCTGTAATACCCAATATTGCACAACAAGAGAGTGCATTAGATTTACAAATCACAGTTCTATGGTCTATCTGAGAAGAAATAATTTTGCCAACTGGGAAAATCAAGGAAGGTTCGGAGGAGAAGGTAGAATTGAATTTCAGCTTTAGAGAGTAAATAGAAATCCAAAAGGTGAAGAAAGAAAGGGAGTTCAATACAGATATGAAATCCTAATCCTGGCTAAAAAAAACTAACATTCATATTCTGTAGTTTGTTTCATCAGACTGATACATAACCCTTCTGAGGGAAAAAAAAGAAATGGATGATCTACATACTGACTATATAGCTAGAGAAATAATATCAGCAACACTATCTGTAAACATGTACAGAAAGGGTCCATGGAAATAGTGTAACTGGTCAAGTTAATGTAGACATTTAAAAAATGTTCAATAACAGATGTTTATAGTCTGCACAATCTTTTATTTTTGTTTTTGCTTATGCTCTTGAATATCGCTGGTGTTGCACAGTTAAGTTTATAATAAATTAAACCATTCTGTAATAAATTAAACCCATTCTTGAGGTTCAAAAGATAACAAGGCTATTAACTTTTCATTTGCATGAGAGGTGACTTAGAGTATTTGAAATGGCTCTTACAGGAAAGAGGTAGTGGGTACAACTAAAGTTGGAGAGAGGGATGGAGACTGATTTTGGTTTGATGTAGGTAGAGGAACTTTCCTATGTTCCTAATGATTCGAACTATGGAAATGTGTAATGGGCTATTTCTAAATGTTCACCCCTAGTGGTGTTCAAGTACAGGTTAGAGATCATTCCCCTTCTGGTATGGATTGGATTAGACAGTCCTTGAGGTCCATTCTAAATTCCAGATTGGAATAATTATGCAACGTTAGATAAGTTTTTATCCTGTGAGTCTTTGCTTTGTAGTGATAACATTCTTCCCTGTCATCCAATAGATGCCTGAATGTTTATTATTTTCACAAACAGTAATAGCTACCATTTATATAGCATTTTAAGATTTACACAACACCTTACATACCTTATTTAATTTTTTTAAATAAAAAACTATAGAGTTTTTTACAATATAATATAAAGATTACTGTTGTCAATCTACATTAGAGATTCTTAACTTTTTTTTTTTGGCATCATGGACCCCTTTGATGAAATGTAGGGACCCATTCTCAGAATAATGTGTGTAAATGCATAAAATAAAATGCTTCAAAGGAAACCAATCAGTTGGAATCATTATCAAAATATTTAAAAAATTCCAAATTCATGAACCTTAGTTTAAGAACTCCTAGTCTAAACCCATTCCAGAAATGGTACAAAATATTTCCAAGTAGAAAACATGGCTACACATTTATGATCCAATTTTTCTAAAGTTCAGAGAAGAGGAAGGAAGGAAATAAGCATTTATTAAGAGCCTATTATCTACTGTTCTGAGCACTTGAAAATATTACCTAATTTTATCCTCACAACAATCTTGGGAGGTAGGTTCTATTATTATCCTCACTTTACAGTTAAAGAAACTGAGGCAGAAAGAGGTTCAGTGACTTGCCCAGGGTCATACAGCTATAGTTAGTGGGGAAGAATTGGAGCTCAGGTCTTCCTGACTCCAAGTTCAGTTCTCTCTCCAACGTGACACTTATGGTGTTGGTTGGTTGGTCAGTTGTCCTTTATTCTCCAAGAGGACCAAAATGACATCACTATGTTGGGGTCAAGGTACAGTGTGTCTGACTGTGGCTGATCAGACCAATATGGGCTTGTAAGGCTGTACCACACATCAGGCACAAATAGTCCACATGAACTTTGGAGTGGTGCTTTCTCTAAATTTGCACGTCTCATCTTTCTTTTGAGTTACTGCAATTCTGCTTCTCTCATGTGCCATGCTAAGTGATCCTATGCCAGTGTTTCCCATGTCTCCCAACTAATTCCAAAGCTCTTCAAAGAGACCTTGAGAGTGTCATTGTATTCCTTTGTATGGGAAAGTGCAAGGAACACGGTAATACACCCCTAGATTTAGAGTTGTAAAATACCTTAAAGACCCTTAAGTTC